CAACAGCATCACATTTTGATATTTTTGTTTAATAAAGGCTTTTATTATTTTGTAGCAATACTTTCTGACTTACCCTTGTACTATAAAGCTACACTATAAACAATATGTTATAGGCATGGGGTAGAGGTTGATAACACAGAAGAGAAACTGAGAAAAGGAATAAACATATTCATAAGAATTTAGTATAAGTCTGGACTCATGAAAAGCCCTGGTGGTGCAGTGGTTAAATGCTCGACTGCTAACCAAAATGTTGGTGGTTTGAACCCACCAGCTGCTCTGCAGGAGGAAGATGCGGCAGTCTGCTTCCATAAAGATTTCAGCCTCGGAAACCCTATGGGGCAGTTCTGCTCTGTCCTGTAGGGTCACTATGAGTCAGAATGGGCCTGACAGCAACAGGTTTGTTTTTTGTTTTTTTATGGACTCGTGCAGGTGGAAGGATGAAATATTCCATAAATGATGCTGAAACAGCTCATTAACTATTTGAGAGAAGTAAAGTTAGATTCTTATCTCATGCTGTATACCAAAATACAATTTGTTGTTATTATTATTGTTAGGTGCTGTCTAGTTGGTTCCAGTGCGTAGCGACCCTATATGTACAACAGAATGAAACACTGCCCAGTCCTGCGCCATCCTCACAGTCCTTGCTATGTTTGAGCCCATTGTTGCAGCCACTGTGCCAGTCCATCTTGCTGAGAGCCTTGCTCTTTTTTGCTGACCCTCTACTTTACCAAGCATGATGTTTTTCTCCAGGGACTAGTCCCTCCTGATAACATGTCCAAAGTTTGTGAGATGAAGTCTTGCCATCCTCACTTCTAAGGAGCATTCTGGCTGTACTTCTTCCCAAACAGATTTGTTGGTTCTTCTGGCAGTCCATGGTATATTCAGTATTCTTTGCTAACCCCATAATTCAATGCAGCAATTCTTTGGTCGTCCTTATTCATTGCCTAGCTTTTGCATGCATATGAGGCAATTGAAAATACCATGGCTTGGGTCAGGTACACCTTAGTCCTCAAAGTGACATCTTTGCTTTTAACACTTTAAAGAGGTCTTTTGCAACAGTTTTGCCCAGTGCAATACATCATTTGATTTCTTGACTGCTGCTTCTATGGGTGTTGATTGTGGATCCAAGTAAAATGAAATCCTTGATAACTTCAGTCTTTTCTCCATTTACCATGATGTTGCTTATTGGTCTAGTTGTGAGGCTGTATCTTGAGGCTGTAGTCTTTGATTTTCATCAGTAAGTGTTTCAAGTCCTTTTCGCTTTCAGCAAGCAAGGTTGTGTCATCTGCATATCACAGGTTGTTAATGAGTCTTCCTCCAATCCTGATGCCGTGTTCTTCACATAGCCCAGCTTCTCGGATTATTTGCTCAGCATACAAATTGAATAAGTATGGTGAAACGATATAGCCCTGACGCATACCTTTCCTGATTTGGATTCAGGTACAATGAAATCCTTGACAACTTCAGTCTTTTCTCTGTCTATCATGATGTTGCTTATTGGTCCAGTCGTGAGGATTTTTGTTTTCTTTATTTTGAGGTGTAATCCATACTGAAGGCTGTGGTCTTTGATCTTCATCAGTGTTTCAAGTCCTCTTCATTTTCAGCAAGGAGGATTGTGTCATCTGCACTTTGCTGGTTGTTAATGAGTCTTCCTCCAATCCTGATGCCCCATTCTTCTTCAGATAGTCTGGGTTTTTGGATTATTTGCTTAGCATACAGATTGAATAAGTATGGTGAAAGGATTCAACCCTGATGTACACCTTTCCTGACTGTAAACCACACAGTATACCCTTGTTCTGTTCGAACGACTGTCTCTTGCTCTATGTACAGATTCCACATGAGCACAATTAAGTGTTGTGGAACTGCCACTCCTTCCAGTGTTATCCATAATTTGTTATGATCCACACAGTGGAATGCCTTTGCACAGTCAGTGAATCACAGGTAAACATCTTTCTGATATTCTCTGCTTTCAGCCAGAATCTATCTTACATCTGCAATGATATCCCTCATTCCTCCACAAATATATAATTTAGACTGATTCAAAAACTAGAAATAAAAAAAAAGTTAAAAGAAAGTGGACATTTGTCTGTAAGTGTTCTGAGAACACTTTTGTAACCATAATACTAAACACGAAAACCAAACCAAACCTGTTGCCGTCAAGTCAATTCCAACTCATAGCGACCCTGTAGGACAGAGTAGAACTGCCCCGTAGGGTTTCCAACGAGCACCTGTGGATTCGAATGGCCATCCTTTTGGTTAGCAGCTGTATCTCTTAACCATTGCGCCACCAGGGCTCCAACCATAATACTGAAGGTCAGAAAACCCTAAAGCCTTTTAGTCTTTGACCATGTAGTAACAAAACCCTCTAAAAAAAGTAACAACTAAAAATCTTGTTATAGGATTAGGTCTAAGATCTTTTAGAATATATTCAAATATAGAATAAAATTCTCCCTAGATTCTCTTCAAACTTAACTGGTCTTGGCAGGATGGTGGGGAGAAAAGTTACGTGATGGGCTGGAAGGTGTTCAAAGGTGGAGTCAGATGGTACCTGGTCTGGGGTTGCCTGCCCCTTACAAGGAGCATGGAAAACTAAAGGAGAAAACCATGAGAAGGATTGGTGGGGCTCAAAGTTCTGTGAGCCTCAACTAGGCTAATCCAGCTGAGTGCTCTTTGTAAACAACAATGCCCAACATGTGTGAGGAAATACTTGGGCAGTGATCACATTTATCTTAGCGGTGGACCCCTGTGTGGTAGGATTTCTAGGTGGGGTTCCTTCTCAGGCATATGCGTGTCTGCAAATCTGTTTTTGTTTTCTTTTGCTTTCATTTCCCCAGGTGCTGTGGGAGAGCATTAAAGTTCATAAGTAATAATTTATAGACTGCTTACAGGAAGACTTTTCCTGTAATTTCTCTTTAGAAAGGGAAAGCAGGCAGTTAGCCTTTTTTTTTCAGAAGGTAAAAGACTTGGCAATTTAATGATTTTTCCTGAATATGGTTTGGGGACACATTGCCTGAGGCCTCATTTTTGCTGAGGGGGGGTGGGCAGGAGGACAGAAGCAGTAGAATTGCTAGGTCAGGGGATGTATGCGTTTGTAATTTTACCAGATATTGCTAAATTGCCCTCTTTAGAGATGATCCCCATTTATAGCCCCCCAGTAATGTCAAAATATATTCCTCTCCACACTTTCACCAACACCTGTGTCAAACCTTTTGACCTTTGTCAGTCTGGTAGGCCAGACTGGGTCCTGAGATGCACTCTCAAAGCAGGAAGGAGAGAGGAGGAGAGGAACTACTGAAAATGTTCTCTTCACAGCTCAGAAGATCGTTGTAGGTGTTCTTGAGGTGCCAAGAGTCGAGTTTTCTTTCTTTCTTTTTTTTTTCTAACGGGGGTTGTTATTTTATTGAGCCCTGGTGGTGCAGTGCAAATAGTTAAGTGCTCGGCTGCTAACCGAAAGGTTGGTGGTTCGAGTCCACCCAGAGGTGCCTCGGAAGAAAGGCTTAGCAGTCTACTTCTGAAAAAGCAGCCACTGAAAACCCTACGTACTACAGTTCTACTCTGACACACATGGAGTTGCCATGAGTTGACTGGTTATCTTCCTGTTCTTTTTGGTTATCATCTTTATGGTTTAGTTTTCCTATATTTTGAAATATAAGAAGGTCAAATGCAGGACTGGGCCCAGAAGCCAGGGCTACCACAGCCTTGGTTCTCAGAGGCAGAGGTCCCTGCTTCTTCCCTGTAAGTACAGAGAAGTTGTTCACTAGACTTCGCCCAGGTGAGCCACTGCAGTTCCCTCTGCTTGTCCTGTCGCCCACCTCTTGCCTGCCCAGGTCGTAGATAAAATAAATTGGCAGTTCTAGTAGTGCTGAGAAATGAATGGGAAGGTTCATCCTCATGAGCCTCTTTGCTCTATTCTCAATTCCAGTGTTTTTCCAAGTATGGTTTTCTGACCATCTGCACAGAATCACCTGGATGTCGTTGAACATGCAGATTCTGCGTCTACTCTCCAGGCCTCCTGAATCAGAATCTCTGGGGGTGGAACCCAGAAATCTGCGTTTCCAACAAGCAGTCCCAGGAGTACATTAAGTTGGGAACCGCAGTTGTGCCTCACAGCCTCCTTATTTTCTCCCTTTTCATCTCCCCCTTTTCCTCCTTCATTCCCTCTGACTCTTGCTCACCTGTTCTCCCTCCTTCCTTCTCCTGAATGCTCAGGGTCCAGAGTACAGTAAAATGTTGTAACATAATAAATCGAAAGCCCTCTGGAAACTCAGCTAGGAGAAAAAAAAAAAGAGGTATATATTTCTTGCTGTTGTGAACTTCTGTTGAGTTGGCCCATGCACAACAAAACGGAACACTGCCTGGTCCTGGCCATCCCTGGGATTGGTTGTGCATTAGACCATTGTGAACCATAGAGTTTTCATTGCTTGACTTTTGAGAGTAGATCTCCAGGCCTTTCTTTCTAATCCGTCTTAGTTTGGAAGCTCTGCTGAAACCTGTTAAGCATCATAGCAACACGCAAGCCTCCCCTGACAGGTGGTGGCTATGCATGAGGCGCATTGGCTGGGAATCAAACCCGGGTCTCCTACATGGAAGGCAAGAATTCTGCCACTGAACCACCACTGCCCTCTTGTATATTTTCTTACTACCTTGCTTGTTCCTGTAAAAGAAAGTCAGATACAAAGCTATCGTGTGCAAGCATCAACTTTGGAAAGTGCATGGTTCTTTTAAGTACATAGTGGCATCGCATTTACAGCTACTGTAGGAGGTGAACCAGGGTGGTGGGAAATGCCCTTCTCTAGAGAAACTGCTGGCGTGAAGTCCCAGGAAAGTCAGCCACCACTAGCCCCAGAGCCAAGCATTGGCCCAGGTGCCCTAGCGGGGAGGTGGGGGGCAGGAGGGACAGGGAGTTGTAGGGGAGAAAGGGTGGCAAAGGGGGGGCATCTGCCTGGAGTTTGGGGTGGTGCCACCAGGGTCCTGAGTCTCTGTTTTTGTCTTCACAGCCACTGAAGGAAGAGGCCGAGATGAACGTTGAGGTGAGTTCTTTACGAGGATCTGTTTAAGAATGCCTTCCTTGCAGGACCTCTTGTTTTCCCAGCACAAGGTGTCCTTTCTCCTACAGAGCTCACAGAAACATCGGCCCAGACCTGAGAACGTTTTCCCTCCAACTTGCTGCTGGGTGCATGGCCCTGGGTGATATGGGAAGAATTAGGCCCTTCTGAGTTCTTATCTGTGAGCTTCCAGCTTCAGTTACATTAGAACTTATCACTACAGCTAATCCTGAAGCAACACTCATGGGCTGAGGTGGAGGTGCTGGGCCGGGAGCCCTGCCTTGTGTTATTCTGGAGACACTTAACTCTGGTTATGAGGACCTGTCTCTGCATTGTCTCCTTAGCATCCCTCGCTTCCACTACAGCTGTTCTTTGATCTAAGTCAAGCGTCTTGGTCCCTTTGGTTTTTCCTGATCCATCAGTCTCTTCCCCTTTTCACTTCCTTCCAAGTCCAGCCTAGCCCTAGGGCCCTGCATGTCAAACAACTTTTTGTTTATGGCCTCAGCTCTGTTTCTCCTCCTCCCGTCGAGCCACCATGGCAAATCCAGAGGCTATCCCCACAGAGCGGTGGGCTCGGGTGAGAGGCACAGCTTCATGCTGGCTGCAGTTGGCAAAGGTCTCAAACCCTCATCTGGGCCCTCAGCTCCGCCATCAGGCCCCCACAGAGCCCCAGGCAGCCCAATTTCTTGTTATCCTCCACAGGGATTTTAAGTCATCACTCTCGCCAAGCTCTGTATTCCTCTTGTCTCCTTCCTCACTCTTAGCATCTGGATCACCTTTTACTTTATGGAGAAAAATTAGAAGCAACAGACATAGTCTCCCTCAGTTCCTGCTTCCCACTTGTCTGGCTCCTCCTGTCACAGTGGAAGAGATGTTTGCCAGCACGAGCACTCTGGGTTGCAGGTACGAGGATGCCCAACTCAATGTGGCTTTTCTCCTCGAAGCCCAGGCGGAGGGGGGGCTTCAAGGCTGACCCAGAGGCTCAGTGATTGCTTCAAGGACCCAGGATCGCTTCATCTCTCTGCTCTCCATCGGCGTGTTGGCTGCATCCCAGGGGCGGATCCCCTCGTGGTTTTCAGGTGACTGCTAGCAACACCTGGGCTCACACCTTCTCATTCACATTCAGCAGGAGAAACAGCAGGCTTCCGGCAGCTCTCCCATGAGAGTGGGGACTTCGTTTCCTGAAGCCCCACCAGATGGGCTTATTGGGCAGAAGTGAGTCACATGCTCATTCCTGGACTGACTACTGTGGAAAACAAAGAAACCAGTTGCAGTCGAGTCGATTCTGACTCTTAGCAACCCTGTAGGACAGAGTATAACTGCCCACAGGGTTTCCAAGGAACTGCTGGTGGATTCAGACTGCCGACTTTTTGGTTAGCAGTCAAGCTCTTAACCACTGTGCCACCAGGGCTCTGCTGTGGCAGAGGAGCAGAGATTTTGCTGACTGGCCTGGACGGATCAGGCCACCCCAGGAGCAGCTTCCCCGAGGCACCTGGGCTGGGTATAGAAAGAGGAAGGGGGAGTGGATGTGGGGAAGGCACAAGGCAGAAGGTGTACCCCTCCCCTGTGTTCTGGAATGCAAACTCTCTTGCCTGCTCAGACCTTGTTCTGCCTCCTTAATTCTGTCTTTTACCAGCTGCATTTTTAATCTCCTTATTTCTACTAGCTGTTTCTCATCAATATTTTAAAATACTTTAGTTTTTACCTTCTTTAGAACAAAACAGTACTCCCTTTGTCATCACATCAAGCTGCTTTTATCCTGTTTTTCTCCTTCCCTTTAGAGGTAGGCTTCTTAAAAGAGATGGCTGCATTTAATTTCCCCATTTCCTCCCTCCTAGCCATTCTCACCACCACCGGTCTGTCAGTTTGTGGTACTGTGGTGGCTGGTGTGTTGCTGTGATGCTGGAAGCTATGCCACCAGTATTTCAGATACCAGCAGGATCACCCATGGTGGACAGATTGCAGTGGAGATTCCAGACTAAGACAGTCTAGGAAGAAAAGTCTGCGGATCTGCTCCCGAAAGTTAGCCAATGAAAACTTACAGATCACAATGGACTATTGTCTGATACAGTGCTGGAAGAATAGTCCCCTAGGTTGGATGGCACTCAGGATACACACTGGCCGCAACAGTGGACTCCAGCATACCAATGATCGTGAAGATGGTGCAGGACCAGAAAGCATTTCGTTCTGTTGTACATGAGTTGCCATGAGTCAGAGCTGACTTGACAACTACTAACAGTAGCGGTCATTCTCCACCTGCTGCAGTTTAGCTTATTTTCCTGTCATTATACTGAAATCAGTCTTGTCAGGGTCACCAGTGATCTCTTTAAGTTCGTCAAAACTTATTTTAAAAAACATGGCACAAAACTCAAAAGCTACAAAATGGTGAACAGTCAAAAGTCTCCCTATTGCCTTATCCTCGCCAGCCCTCCACTCCCTCGAGCTAACTTCTATTACCCATTTTCTTTCAGCTCTGATCTCCTTATCTGAAGGCCCCTGTAGTTCACTATAATTCTCATGGTGATTTACATTTTGAAAAATCAATAGAAAATTTGCATTAATATTAGGCTTATACAACCTGGTCTAGTAACAGTTCCATCAATCATCAGTTATCTGTTCTGTCCTAGAATTTCAACCTCTCCTTCACTGTTTGCTTTTTCCTCTCAACCTACAAACATTTAAAAAACACTCCTAGACCCTGGGGCCCCCTTTCTGTGTTTCCCCTTCTCTTCCTTGAGTGCATGTCATTCATTGTTTGTAACCACCTTCTCACTTGCCTTTAATACCTAATCCACTGTGGCCTGACTTTTGTTCTCTCCTCCAAGAAAACGTCCCAGGCAGTGTTCACCGGTGACCTCACTATTGCCAGATTTGGTGTAAACTTCTTCCTTGAAGCATTTGGTACTCTTGACTGCTCCCTTCTTGAAATGTCCCCGTGACACCTCGATTTCCTGCCTCTCTAGTCACTTCTCAGATTTCCTTTCCTAGGCTCCTCGTCTCCCTGCTCTTTAAAACCCTGCGTTCCCCAGGGTCCTTCTCACTGTACTCACCCTCCTGGTGAGCTCATCTCTTCTCACTGCTTTTATTATCAGTTGGATGTTTAATGGATCTGCTCAACCAGGTCTTTCTCCTCATCTCCAGATCCACACATCCATGGCGAGGTTCCACAGGCTCCCCAGACTCACTCTAACCCGAGCTGGGCTCACCCGTGGTCACCTGCTTCTCACAGGCCCCCTCAGGGAATAGCACTGCACCATGCACTTGCCTGGTTTGGAAGCCCAGTGTCCCATTCACACCTCCTTTCTCACACCCTGTACTGTAAATGCTGTCACTTCATTGATGTACACATTCATCAGATATTTATGGGACACCCACACTATGCCAGATTCTAGACTTGGCTTTATGGATATAGTGGCAAAAAATATAGATATGGTACTTCTACTCACGGGATTTATTGATGAGTCAGATACTGACTCCACAGTATCTTTCAAATCTATTTCTCACATTACCTTCTACCCCTTATCACTTCCTCACTTCCTTAACTAATTCTTTCCTTACTCTGTCCTTAGTCTTTCCCTCCTCGAGGTCATTCTCTCGCTCCTTTTTTTGGAAGGGGGATCTCAGGTGTAGAGAGTTGAGTTCCTCATACCCATCAGCCTTGGTTCATGACACGGTGTTTTTGTTGGTCTGCACAAGGCCACTCTCTTATATATATGTGTGTGTGTGTGTGTGTGTGTGTATGCATGTGTACATATATACGTATACATACATACATAATATATACGTACATATATACGTATACACACACGCATATATATATATATTTAATCCCCACCTTTATCCTCACCCTCCCAAAAGCAGCTTTTCAAGTGTATTAAATATCTATCTTAGTGTTTGTATCTTACTGTTTATGAAAATATGTGTAACTGTTTTTCTTTTGTGTGCAAATACTTTTAAATTTACAGATAGTAAAAAGATGGACTTTGGGGGGAGAGGGTGTACAGTTCTAAGAGTTGTAAGACACGCATGGGTTCATGTAGCCACCACCCCAGTCAGGATGTGAACCTCACCCCAAAACGTGCCCTCTTGCTGCCTTTGTGGTCACACCCTCCCTGCCCTGACCCCAGTCACCACTGTGTGCATAGAATTTGAATTTACTTAATTGTACTGTGTTACAGTTTATATCTTTCTTACTTTTTTTCACTCAAACAACAACCAAAAAACCAAACCCATTGCCGTCGAGTCGCTTCTGACTCATAGTGACTCTACAGGACAGAGTAGAACTGCCCCATAGAGTTTCCAAGGAATTGCTGGTGGATTTGAACTGCCAACCTTTTGGTTATCAGCCAAGCTCTTAACCAGTGCGCCACCAGGGCTCCCCTCAGCCCTGTGATTTTAAGGTGTTGCACGTAGCTAAGCTGCTGCCCAGAGCCCCACGATATGCATCATCCTAACAGAGTGTCTGTGAGAAAGGTACTATTACAGCCTCTGTTTCACAGTTGAGGAAAACAAGTGTTAGTAAATGGCTTAAAGTCACAGAGTATTAACAGGCAGAATGGAGGTTCAGCCCTGATCTTTCCGACCCCACAAATGCCTTTCTCTTTGTCTGTATTCAGCTAATCCTATCCATTTAGTTCAAATGCCATGTCTGCTGCATTAAAAGTTTTTTCAGAGCCTTCTTGAAGCCCTCCCTTTTCTGATCACCCTTTATTTCTTTGGCACCTTCCAGTCTGACTTCTCATCTAGATACCTGTGTGCCTCGCTTATCTTGGCATCCCCACAGCATCTGGCGTGATGCCTTTTATATAATACATACTCACTAAATGTCAGTTGAATTGATGAGAGAGTGATTCAGAGCATGCTTAGTAATCTTGTAATGCAATCCAGAGCTTGGATGGGTCAGTGACAGTGAAGAGGAAGGAAGTCACATGAGAGGAATTGTGACGGAGAATGTGCCATGACCCAGAGGTTAGCTGGACAGGGAG